GCCTGATCCTTCACTTGCAGAGGTCCTCCCTGTCAACCAACCTTTTCCCTAATGGTTTTCATTCATTGATAATTACTGCCTGAATCATTTCATCAGGGGTCACAATGTGATTATGTCTTCCTCATACATTAACTGGAGTAGTTCTGGGATAAAAAGAAAATTTTTCTGGGGCACCTGGGTTGACTCAGTGGTTGAACATCTGTCTTTGGCTTGGGTCACGATCCGAGATCCTGGGATTGATTTCGGCATCAGGCTCCCTGCAGGGAGCCTGCTTCTCCCTCTGCCTATGTCTCTCTGTGTGTCTCTCATGAATGAATAAATAAAATTAAAAAAAAAAAAGTAAAATTTTTTTCATCAATAATGACAACTTGAAATTCATGTTTTTATAATAAGGCTAGGTTAAATTCTTTACCTTTAATTGCCAGTTTTTAGAGGAAGGAGTTGGTGCTCTGATTGCTTTCAGTGAAACTAATGCGTGAGGATGAAAAGTTAAAGGGTTATATACCCTTAGAGATATCATAAACACTTAGATTTCATATATGAAACCCATTTTAGTTCATTGTAGTTAGGGACCCAGGAATCTGTATTTTTCACATACAAACCACATGGTCTTTTTTTTTTTTTAAGATTTTATTTATTTATTCATGAGAGAGAGAGAGAGACAGAGAGAGGCAGAGACACAGGCAGAGGGAGATGCAAGCTCCATACAGAGAGCCCCACATGGGACTTGATCCCGGGTCTCCCAGATCAGGCCCTGGACTGAAGGCGGCACTAAACCGCTGAGCCACCGGGGCTGCCCCCCACATGGTCTTGATATAGGTGGTCTGCAGAACAGACTGCTTATAAAATTACATTATCAATTGAAAACTGTTTACTATTTTGTTGTGTTGTCTTCCATACCACAGGAGGTGTTCACTGACAAGATAATGCCCAATCTTACCAGAGTATTTGATTTTTAAATTACAGCATTAAATGTTAACTTGCTTAAATAAGGTCTTTTCTGCTTTTCGTTGACTGTCATTGTTACAATCCTTCAGCTGTAGTTACTCTTAACATTGACTGACTTCCAACAGGGCAACAAAATAAACATTTTTTTGTTTGTTTTTTAATGCAAGTAGTGTTGTGTAAATAATTTGCTATTTATTGTGCTCCTATCCTATCCCAATCACCATCCTGCAAAATTTATCTCCAGTCCTTATTCCATCTCCTTTTGACCTAGGTTTTTTTGTTTCTGTTTTCTTTTTGTTTGTTTTTTCAGTATCTAGGGCGTTTCTACTAATCTTAAGTCCCAATTTACTAATGATATAATTAGAAGAGTCTCCCATTACTGCCTCCTTCAACGAGATACCCATTTTTATTTATTCATTTATGGTTTATCTATACAGTGTTGTTTTGCTTTGTCTTTCAAATGCTAGCCAATATATGTAAGTCTGACCCTATGCTTACACAAAAGTGCCGTAACGATAGATACTGATCTGCATCTTACTTTTTCTCCCCACTTAATAATATATTCTAGAGATCACTCTAGAAACCTTTTTTTATTTATTTTTATTATTTATTTATTTATTTTAAATATTTTATTTATTTATTCATGAGAGACACAGAGAGAGAAGCAGGCTCCATGCAGAGAGCCTGACGTGGGACTTGATCCCGGGACCCCAGGATCATGCCCTGGGCCAAAGGCAGGCGCCAAACCGCTGAGCCACCCAGGGATTCCCTAGAAACCTTTTTTAAAAATTTAATTATTTATTTGACAGAAAGCACAAGCAAGGGAGTAGCAGAGAGAGAGGGAGAAAGAAGCAGGCTCCCCACTGAGCAGGGAGCCTGATGTAGGGTTCATCCCAGGACCTTCAGATCATGACCTGAGCCAAAGACAGACACTTAACTGAACCACCCAGGTGCCCCACTCTAGAAATCTTCATTACTTTTTATGGCTGTGGAGTATCCCCTTTCAGGTCGATGTGTCATCATTTTTCCAGCCAGTCACTACTGATGGACATTCAAGTTTCTAAAAATTTCTTGCTGTTACATATAATATAATGCTGTTATTTCCTCCAGCTTCTCTCCCATTTTGCTGCTCTCCTTCATAGCAAAACTCCTTGGAAAATTTTGTGTCAGTAATGGCTATCCCCACCTCTTGATTTCTGGACTCCTGAATTCTTTCCATCAGGCTTCTGCCCCCACCACTCCACTGAAACTGCTCTTTTCAGCACCAGTGGACTTACATAATGCTACCTCCAATGCTTTGTTCTCACTTCTCAGCCTTACTTGGATTATTAGCTGCACTGGACCCAATTGATGAAACGCTTGTGACTAGGCTTCTAGAACACCATATACTCCTGGGTTTTCTTTACTCTTGAGGCTGTTCCTTCTCTCTTTTCTCTGACCCTCTTATCATTGAATGAATGCATTCCTCTTTCCTGTGGTATCAGCTGATGGCTGGGCCAACCTGGCCCACTTCATGAGAGGGCAGTCTGTAAGAGAAGGGAAGTAGGAAGGGATGAAGTCTGCATCTAGAAGTTGAAGCTGGGAGGGGAAAGAGAAAGCCTTCTGGTTTCAAAGGTCACCTGAAATAAGCCCTTAGCCTGATACAACCAGAATTTATTAATGTAATACGGTGAGGGCAGGCTTTCTAGGGGGAATTGTGGAATGCCACACAATGAGAGGGAGAAGGAAAGCAGTCTTCATACAGTTTGGGTTCCTGCTGAAGGATTCTGAGAGGGCTCAACGGGAAGTGGGGATCAATTTTGGATTGGTTGCTATTTCTGAGGCAGGATTAGAAGGGAGGATTAATTAAGGTTTGGGTGCTATCTTGAGGCAGGGGCATTTTAACAATCAACAATCATCAGTAATTGATGCTACAACAAAATGAGTCTGGGGGTATCGTTGGTAAGAAAGCAGTAGTCAATCCGAGGGTTGTTAGAGCATTTTATAGCAGCTACATGATCTTGGGAGAAATCATGTTTTCTCTTAACTTTGCACCTGCCTTTGTAAATAAGTGTCTGTCCTTCCAGCCCAATTAATAGGGTTGTTTTTTTTTCTTTTTCATTCTGAGCTTATTTTCATCTTTTTAAAAAATATTTTTTAAAGGTTTTATTTAAGAGAGTAAATGAGAGTGAGAGCACGAGCGAGGGGAGGGGCAGAGGGAGAGGGAGAAGCAGGCTCTCTGGCTGAGCAGGATGCCCCACGCAGGCCTCTATCCCAGGACTCCAGGATCACGACCTGAGCCAAAGGCAGATGCTCAACCAACTAAGGCACCCAGGCACCCCGATTTTCATCTTTGATCTCAGATATGTTTTGACTCTTTCACTTCCATGGCACCGATTTCCTAGATTTGAGAGGTAGAAATTCTTGTTTCCTAAAACTGAACCAGTAATTAAATGGTTAAATGATCACTGTAGTCCCCCATCCTATCCCCAAATCAAGGTAGAAGCTCATAATTTTTAAATAGGGCATGATTTAGGAAAATTGTAAAGTAGGAATAGTTACTCTGTTGTTGCCATTTCAACTTTTCTTTGTGGACCTCTATCCCTATTAGGGGCCCCAGGGACCCATCACTGTCTCGTCTCATCCAGGCTTTCATTGCTCTTTCTTAGGCCTTTTTCTTTTCCCCTATGTGAACTTGGGCCTAGTGGTTGATTTGATAATGAGTTTAAGGTAGCTTACTATATTCCTTTGAGGGGCATTTGCATTTTAATTGGAAATTCCTGAGAATAATACTGAAATCCAGGAACAAGGTTTTAATGCATTTATGTTAAGATGAGGTGGGGAGTAAGGATGGGTAGGGAACAGAGTTTGAGCAGAGGCCGTCCTTTAGGTGTCACTCTGAGCACCTCATGAACTGGAGCCCAGTTCTACCCTCTTCTCCCTTCAATGCCGAGGTAGGTAGGTGGTGTGTTGATAGATATAGTGAGTGTCTAAGTGCCTGGCCATTGTCATGGGAGCTCTGTGTTGAGTAAATAGTGTGGAAATGTAGACTGGAAGTTGAGACTAGTTAGATTAGTGCTGACAATTGGAAGTACCTCCTTTTCCCAGTGGTACACAAACACTGCCGCCTTGGGAGTTCCAAGAGACAGACACAAATATGTTGAGACTTGCTCATAATGCTGTCCTTTGCACTACTTACTGTCTGGGAATGTTTCAGGCATAGACTAGCAGTGCTCAGACTAGGCAGTACGTATCCAGCCCTCCTGTGGGAGATGAAATGTGAGCCTACAGCCTGTAGCTGAGCAGTTGACTGGAGCCTGTGCACCTGTCCGGATCCAAGTTGTTTCTTTTCTTTTTTTTTTTTTTTCCAAGTTGTTTCTTAATCCTCAGGGCAAATGTGAGTTTCTGTCATGCTTGGAAGATGGGTGGAGCTTTAGGAAGGATTTGAATCTAGCACCCCCAAACCTAGGTGTGACTTCCATCGTAGTCTTCCATGTGCATGCTGACAGAAGCCAGGATGTGTCTCCTGGTGTTGGGGCCCTCTGGTCTCATTGCTCCCTGGGACATGCCCAGGGCATTTGCTCTGGGGATCAGAAGCCCACCAGATTTCAGTCCGAGGCACAGTTTGAACCATTTTGAGGTGTCTTCGTAAACTGAGTTTGTAAAAGTTGTGCTTTCTCAAGTCCCCTAGCCTTGTCCCTTGGGAAGCCTAGACCCAAGTGGAGCATACTGATATGGCACATTATTGCTTTCTTTAAGTGACCTGCGTTTGTATTTTGTGCATGCCAGAGGCATGCTCTGGAAGTCATTGGGCAGCTTCAGCCCAACATGTACATCAAGGTGACGGCTCATTTGTATAGCTGTTGCTGTTACATCTGTTTGAAGACTGTTGACTGGCCCTTACTGCTGTACTGAAATAGGGTAGCCCAGGAAGAAAAGAGCCACCACACTGCATATAGGAGTGAACTCCTGTGTCTAGTTTGAATGGACAACTTGTTAGAATGAAGACCTCAACACTGTGGCACATGTTGAGTTACTATTAACTGAACTCCAGACTTTATTTAGATTTTTTTAAAAATATGGACCACTTCATGAATTTGCATATCATCCTTGTGCAGGGGCCATGCTAATATCTATAACATTCTAGTTTTCGTGGATGTATTGCTGAAGTGAGCATAGACTTTCTTTAGATTTTACCTTTCTTTAGATTTTATTTCATCGTTCCATTCATGACTTTCTGTTCCCAGCATCTGGTCTATGGCACCACATGACATGTAGTTGTCTTGGCTTTAGTCTCTTGACCTGTGACAGTTTCTCAGAGTCTTTTCTGTTTTCATGACCCATGACTGTTCGGAGGAATAATGGCAGGTATCCTTCATAACATACCCCAATTTGAGCTTCTCTGATGTTTTCCTCAATTTATTTAGACTAATGTTATAGATTTGGGGAATACTACAGAGATGAAGTACCTTACCAGGGGGCACCTGATATATACATAACATCACTGGTGATATTAACATGGGTCACTTGATTAAATTGTTTGTTGCCAGTTTCTCTCTCCATTGTAAAGTTACTGTTTTTCTCTTTCCCTATTCTTTTTTTTTAAATATTTGTTCATGAGAGACACAGAGAGAGAGGCAGAAACATAGGCAGAGGGAAAAGCAGGCTCCCTGAAAGGAGCCCGATGTGGGACTCAATCTTGAAGGGAGCCCAAGGGACGCTCAACCGCTGAACCACCAGGCATCTCTCTCTTTCCCTGTTCTGTTCCTTGGAAGCAAATCACTAAGTCTGTCCCACATTCAATATGGATTGGGGGATATATAGAATTAAACTCCATCTTGTAGAAGGGGAAGTAACTACATATATTATTTGGAGTTCTTTTTTTTTTAAAGCAGAGTGATTTTATTTTATTTTTTTATTCATTTATGATAGTCACAGAGAGAGAGGGGGGCAGAGACATAGGCAGAGGGAGAAGCAGGCTCCATGCACCGGGAGCCCGACGTGGGATTCGATCCCGGGTCTCCAGGATCGCGCCCTGGGCCAAAGCCAGGCGCCAAACCGCTGTGCCACCCAGGGATCCCTATTATTTGGAGTTCTTATGTAAAGAAATTTATCTCTACTTACCCATTAAGTCATTTATTTGTATCACTATGGACTCACGTGTATCTAATATCTATTTTATATTTTGAGTTATAATCCAGTACTATGTTATTTTATTGCCTAAATTGTTCCAGCTTTGGCCAGAAGGAGCTCTTTCAGGTTGCACCTGTATCCCTGTGACATACTTCTATCCTTTGTTTTTTTTGAACACTTTCTTAGTTTCTGATATTACAAAGATATTCCAGGCTCATCTTATATTTTCCATGTCTTAGCCCAGAATCAGCCATTTCTCTTTTTCTATTAGCAAATTCTATTCAGAAACCACTGGGCACTGGATATGTTCAGTACTACTGGGCTGTTATTACTTCTAGGCCTTCTCAGCAGACAGAGCTAGGTCACGTGTGTATACATCCTAACCTCTGTAAAGAGACATATCTATCATTGTTTCTATGTTTCCTCATCTGTATATATATTAAGATAAACATGAGTTTATACTTCTGTCTTTGACTTTAATCCAGTACCACAGAGTTCATTTTAGAATGTTCCTTTCTTGATCATCTGTAATATCCTTCTTCAACAATGAGAAACCTTGCTCTCCCACATTTCACAATTAATTTACTTATTCAACTCCAGTTAACATGTACCCATGCTATGCATGTATTATAACCCATAACCCTACAAGGAACAAACTTACCAGTTCGAATATTGTACTGATTTTTTATTATCATGTGATTTGATCTGTGATGCCAGCCTTTAGACATATGCAATGTTTCTAACATTCCTACCATAATCTGAGATGTCTTTGTACATCAGTATGGTTCCTTAAGATTATGGAGTTGGGCTTCAAGTAAAGTATTTTCCTCTTTTTTTTTTTTTTTAAACATGGGGCTTGAACTCATAACTCTGAGATCAGGACCTAAGCTGAGATCAAGAGTTGGATGCCCAACTGACTGAGCCATTCAGACACCCCAAAATACTTTCCTTTTGCTCTGCATTTCTAATAAATCTAAACTAAAGAAGTACAAATTTTGTGTACTCTCTTTAGTAATTGATCATACATTTCTACAAAAGGAAGTTTATACTTATTATTAAAGTTATATACTTATTAAAGGTTTTATATGTGAAAGGGACAAGCTGAATGAAACTATTTATAGTACCATTTATCTCCAAAGTCCTGGCTCAGATTCTTTTTGTAAAACACCTTAAGGTAAGACATTCTAAAATCAGTTTCTCCATTGGCTTTACTAACCCATTAACGTATAGGCTTGGCACTTGATTCTACTTTATTGGCTACTTTCTAGGACATCCTGTTGGCTCATTCTTGTTATTGGTACCAAAAATCATATATGTTTGTTGGTAAAGATATTATGGCCTGGGAAATGGGACTGACTTAATATAGCTGTAGTTCCCTGAGTTCTTGGATTCCCAAGTTCCTGTTGAGGAGAAATAAGTATGAGTTGGAAAAGCTATTCTGAGAGTTGAGTGTTCTTAGTCATCAGTGCAAGTTGGCGTTTAACTTGAAGACTGATCTCGGGTCCATCATTTCTGTCTCCAGACCTCGAATCCTGTATCTAGAAGGTGTAGCCTTTCATTCAATGACCCCTACGATTCCTTCCATCACAAGTGGTAAAATACATGGCTGGCAGTTCTTACCTCAGTAAGTAAGGCATTCTGGCAAGAATCGGATGGTCAGCCTCTCTGAAACAAGCTTATTTGGTCCATTTTGATCACCTTTTTCTCTTTGTTTAACACACGCTCATTCTCGCACATTCTGCATGGGACGAACACATTTTGAAACGTGAGGGCTGGGGATCCCTGGGTGGCTCAGTGGTTTAGCGTCTGCCTTTGGCCCAGGGCGTGATCCTGGAGTCCCAGGATCGAGTCCTGCGTCGGGCTCCTCGCATGGAGCCTGCTTCTCCCTCCTCATGTGTCTGCCTCTCTCTCTCTCTCTCTCTCTCTCTTTCTCTCTCTCTTTCTCTCTATCATGAATAAATAAATAAACAAATCTTAAAAAAAAAAGAAACATGAGAGCTAGTAGTGCTTATTTTGATGGCTTAGATTATACCATGTAGAAGGTGTATTTTGCTGTTCATAATGACCCATCATGGTAATAATAACTTGGGAGGATCAGAGCTGGAGTGTTCATTGTTGGATGTTTATAAATCAGTGGTTTCTTAAATGACCCTCTCTTTATAGCTACAATGTAAAATCTGTGAACAGTACGGAAGAATAGCCACAGTAAAGAGAGTGCAGTGGCTTACATATGATACGGCCCAATGAGTTATACGAAAGAAGTTTTAGTTCTTAAAGCCAGGGAAGAAGATGTCATTAGTCTTATATACTGATAATAGTCTTCAGAAGACTATCTTTTCTCTGCTTGTAAGCATTTAGTTTCCTGAGCAAGATGAAGGAAGTGTATGACCTGTTACTGAGTATGTGAAACATATCATGTGCTTAAAAGAACTTTGGAAAATAGATGGGTGAAAGAGAAGTAGTACGAATTAATGTACCGTAAGACAGGGCATATCTGTTTGAGAAAAACAAAAAATAAAGTGAAGAAATGTTGGCTTTGGTTAGAAATATAGGCTAGGAAAGCATGGAATGAATCTTCCTTAGCTGCCTGCCATTGAATTGTTTTTTAAGGCCTACATCATGTTGGTTTATAAGATTGACTTAAGAGCTCTGAATCAAAGTACTCTGACCTAGCACCATCCCATATTTCCAAATGAAGTGGCATGCTGCGTATCCTGTGTTAATCAACAGATTGAACTTTTCTGGCACAAGTTTACATGAGGATTCACATTTGCTTTAATGAAAAATTGTGTCTGGAATGGATTCCCATTCCTAGGAGTCCTGCTAGTGCAGCTAGTGGCTGCAGAGGTGCTAATTCCAGAAGTGAACAGCAGATGTCACTGCATCTCTGCTTACTACGGTTCTGGCTCCTAGCTGGGTTCTGGCTCCTAACTGTTTAATGAAGCTCCCAAACCACCTAATGCAAATAGGGTGTTTATGGCCTTCATCAGACACAGAAACCAGATTGAAAATTGAGATTAAGCACAGCCCAAGAGTGTTTTCCCCAGTTTCTTTCACTATTCCTTTTAGTATTGGGGGGGGGGTTCCCTATTCTTAATATTATCTGAATTTCTGTGTGAGTAACTAATGGAATTTATTAGCCTTTTTGTATCAGCCATTTAGCAGTTATTCAGGAGCTTTGGATAACTTTTCACATTTGCTTCAGCTGGATTCATACTTAAAGCTTCTTGGCCTTTCTGTAGCTTGCTTTTTAAAGGCCTTCCTAGCAGGAAAGTTGATGTCACTGTTCTCTAAATTGAGGTGCAGAACATCAAAGGGAACTCTTTACTCTTCTATTTGAACCCTTTGCTTTGGCAGTTGAGGAAATAACTGAATTACGACCAAAAGTCCTCTTTTTAAAACACATCCTTGGGATCCCTGGGTGGCGCAGTGGTTTGGCGCCTGCCTTTGGCCCAGGGCGCGATCCTGGAGACCCGGGATCGAATCCCACGTCAGGCTCCCAGTGCATGGAGCCTGCTTCTCCCTCTGCCTGTATCTCTGCCTCTCTCTCTCTCTCTCTGTGTGACTATCGTAAATAATAAAAAATAAAAATAAAACACATCCTTATGGTTTCAATGTAGATGGTAAGGCTTCTCTATATGACAAAGGCAAAGTTGGCGTTAAATTGTATTATTTTAGAAAGTCTGGGCATACTGAATTTTTGGTATCTTTTGATCACATAGATCATTAGAAAAAGAAAACACCCCAAGTGATACTTGTCTTAATATACTCATGGTTAATGCTGGTTTACACGTGTGTTGTGGTGGTCATTATTACTAGCTCCCCTCTTTACTCTCAGTTGTCCTATTTGGACAGTATGTTGTCATTCTAAATTGCTCAAAGAAGTAGAGAGGAGGTGGTTGATAAGTTGCAATTTTAGTAATTATAAGCATTTTTTGGCTCAAGAATTATGCCTGCCCTGAGTTTTCTGTTTGTTTGTTTTTTTTTAAGATTGTTTTAAAATGAATTTATTTAAGGGAGAGAGAGAGAGAGAGAGAGCGCACAGGGCGGGGGAGAAGGGGAGAGGGAGAAGGAGAAGCAGACGCCTCGCTGACCAGGGAGCTCAACACAGAGCTCAATCCCTGGACCCCAGGATGAAGTGGAAGGCAGACACTTAACTGACTGAGCCACTCAGGCACCTCTGCCCTGAGTTTTCTAGTTACATACATTCAAACCAAAGCAAAACCACAAGCTTATAATTCTGGGAAATTAGTTTTTAGGTTTCTATCTATAGATCATTGTTCTCTGGAACAGTGATTTCCAAATATGGCTGTGCATCAGGATCAACTGGTAACCTTTGAACAGATACTTTCACAGGTCTTACCATAGACCTATACTGAATGTGTACTGGAGTTTGAATGTGATATTATCAAAAATGTAGAAATGCATGCAGTGCAAATGTACTGGACTACTTTGTCAGCCAGCTTTTAAAGGACATTCCTAAGATTTGGGTGGCTTTGAGAGGCATTTTGGAGTAATGGTGGTGGCTGCTTTGGGTCTTGAAGGAATGCCTGTCACTGACATGAATTGCCCTTTTGTTTCAGATGTCATCTGGGTGATTCTCAGTGTGGAGGTGGGTGGACTTTTAGGAGTAACGCAGCAGCTGTCATCTTTTGAGACGGAGTTCAACACACAGCCACATCGCAAGGTAGAAGGAAACTTCAACCCGTTTGCCTCTCCCCAAAAGAACCGACAATCAGATGAAAACAACTTAAAAGACCCTGGGGGTTCCGGGTTCGACTCGATCAGCAAAAACACATGGGCTCCTGCTCCTGACCAAACCGAGCAAGATGAGAATAGACTCTCACAGAACTCTGTAAATCTGTCCCCCAGCAGTCACGCAAACAACTTATCAGTAGTGACTTACAGTAAGGTAGGTGCCCTCGGAGAAGAGGAGAAGGGGTAGGTGGTGGGCCTTGGGATTTGTGATACCCTTTCATGGCAAACCTAGAAGCCTAGAATGTTCTTTAAGACTGCTTAGCTCTCCTGCCAACAGCAACAATACAAAAACCTACCCCTTCTCCCCTCCCCCTCCCCCATCTTCATGTCCTGTGGATTACTTTATCCACATTTATAATTTACTGCTGTCTCTCTGCTCTGGTTTGGGTGTTGAAAGAACAAAGTTTTTTACATTTAGCATTTAAAAAAATAAAGTCAAAATATCACCAACTGTCCTTCCAGTGTAAATGTATACTAAACCTAGACCACATGCCTTTGGAATCTCTTCCTGCTTTGTTGTTTTTGTTTATGTTTTTACTTTGGCTTTGGGTGGGGCTTTCATTTTTCCAAGGAACAAAGACAAACTCAATTATATATCCTAAATATTGTTGTTGGGCTTTCGCTTTATTTACCTTATTTGCATGTCTTCTTGTTGATGTATTTTCAGTCTATTACGGCCTGTCTACCTCCTCACCCACAACCCAGAGTGGCCCAAGTGATATTTTGACTTTTTATGTGTGGGGCAGGAAGTGAGAGAATTGTTGAGTTCACCATGAATTTAAATATTTTGATAGTTCTGAGACACTCTTCTCTGTGTTTGATTTATTGATCTCCTTCTCCTTGCTAGCTGATTAAACAGTGTCTTCTACCCTCTGCTAAGGTGATGATGGTTCCTGGTTGTTGGTTTTGGTTGGTTGAGTAAAGCCTTGATGCTGAGCGCTCACAGTTACAGATGTTTCATATGGTACGGGCCTGTGAGCATTCCTTTTCATTCTTCTCTGGTTAACAATGCTGTGTATTAGGCCCAGCACCCCACCCTATACAATCATATAACTGTTAAGTCTGCCCTTGCATCATGTTGGGATTTACCCTCAAATTTTGAAAAATAAAATTGATGTTTATTTGAGGACAAATTGTCTGTTGTAAGAATGGTATTTTTCTGACTAATGCTTTATATATGGCTCAGATCAAAAGGCAAATTAAGAAAAGAAACCTGGTGATGTGAATCCTATTTCTCCACACATTCTAGTTAGTAAGAGAGACTTCATTCAGTAGTGGTGTAACAGAGGATTAATTTTTTTTGTTGTTTGAATGGTTGTCATAAAGGATTCTGTGGAGTCATGTTAGTTGCACAGGATATAAAAGAAGTCAATTGGCAAGATATTAAAATGCCTGTATTTGAGTTAAGACTTCATATTGTAACACTATAATAAAAGGTTTTTCCTCTAAGCTCCTATTTCTCCAGATTTTCCTCCTTAAATTTAAACCTCCAGAGTATAACCATTCCAGGTAGTTAAGTGAGCCAAGCCCTAGGGTAAGCATGTCCTGTTAGAATTGGAATTTGCAGTTGAATTCAATGGGAAGATGAGAGTCAGAGGAGGCAAAATGAGTTGCTTTGGTGCTTTGTATAGTAGAAGCCCCTCTCCCAGCTGTGAGTTACTTGGATCAGTAGTTCCTGTGGTTTAAGGAGGCGGCTGTTCTTGGCCACAGCACTGCACTCATCGTCCTAAGTTGTGAACCTGTTAGTTGTTTGCCACTCCTTTAGGGACTGATGCCTTTTCGCCAATTCTGTGGTGATTGCCCAGGCCTAGGGGGTGGCAGCTAGGGTGGGATTGGCAGGGGGTCAGAGTGGATTACCTACCAGCCTTAGTTGAGGTCCTACCATGTTGTCTTTTTTTTTTTTTTTTCTTTGAAGGACTGGGCTATGGTGAGGGTAGAGACTATTGAGATTTCTTGAGGTTGATGAGGTTGATGAATTCATGGTATGTTGCCTTTTTATTTTTTTCATGAACTCTGTAGGAGCATTTAGAAGTAATATTTGCAAGAACCACAGAGAAAAGGTTCTCATTGGAGATGATATTCAAGAAGACTATTGGCTATAATGCATTGAGAATGTGGCACTTAGGTCCCAAAGAAAAACTGGAGCCTCCCTTGTTTCTTTCTCTTTTTCCTTCCTTCCTTAAAGATTGATTGATTGATTGATTGATTGATTGATTGATTGATTTTTAAGGTTAAGGGAAGGGCAGAGGAGAGGAGGAAGGAGAGAAACAAGCAGACCTCTGTTCTCACTGAGCAGGGAGCCAGTGTAGGGCTCAGTCTCATGACCCTGAGATCATGACCTGAGCTGAAATCAAAAGTCAGTCACTTAACTGACTGCACCACTCAGGCACCCTTCTTGTTTCTTAATTTAAGGAGAATCTTATTCAGAATGCATTTATGTGTGCATCTAGCAATTTCTCTGAAAGGATTTCTGGTTAAAGTTGAGACAGCTCCACCTCTTAAGGCAGTAAGAGAACAGGGGTAGGGTATAGACAGACATCACTAAGTATTAACACATCTGTGCACATTTTAGATCAGTGTACATTGTTCAGATGGAGACTTGAAGAATAAAAGAACTTACCCCTATCAACTAACAGCTTACAGTGCAGTAGGGGAGATGAAGTATGCATACAGCAATTAGGAAACAATTTAGTTAAGTATGGAGAGACAAAAACAGTCAAAATGTGCAGTTTGTGTGTATGGCTGTGGATTAAAGTTAGGGCAGAGAGGAAGAAGAGATTGAGTTGGTCTTTTCAAAGGATAGATTTGGAAAGAGGAAGGACAGTGGAGAACCCTTTAAGTGCTGAGGGCAGAATGAGTAAGAGACATGTTCTCAGGAGATGTGGGTGACAGAGATGGATGGGTTCAGTTTGCGGTGGTTTTCTTTGAGGAGCAGTGGATGAAATAGTCATAAATGGCTTTGAAAAGAATTGAGACTGTACTTAAATGGATATCTTAAAGCAGAGCTTATTCATAATGCTAAACATTTGTGTTTGGCTTGAGAATACAGATTTATTTTTATTTGTTTGTTTGACACAGAGCACAAGCAGGGGGGAGCTGCAGGCAGAGGGGGAGGGAGAAGCAGACTCCCTGCTGAGCAGGGAGCCTGATGAAGGCTCCATCCCAGGGCCCTGGGATTATGACCCAAGCCGAAGGCGAAGGCAGACACTTAACTGACTGAGCCACCCAGGCACCCCCAGATTTATTTATTTTTGAAGGCAGGCATGCTTGAGTCAGCTCGAGAGTATGCTTGACACAGTGATGAGATCGGGTATACCAAAGTTATGTTTTAACAATTCCTGTATGGCAAGTGTGTTGCCACGTACTTTACATGTTTGATCTCATTTTTTGGACAAGAAAACAAAGCTCCAAGGGACTCAGTAACTTGCTCAATATTACATAGCTATTGAGAGGCAGAGTTGGAATTCCAATCCAAGGTGCCACATTATTAAAATGTAGTATTAGTAGGTAAACCTGGGCTCTCCCTAGAAGCTCCTGTTGGGCTGGAGGCTGTATTTGGTTAAAGCATTTACTGAGTTGATGATCGGTATCATCAAAGAGTGAAAAAAAGAGTTGAAATAAGATCAGTGGCTCTAATGTAAACTGAAAATTGCCTGTGGCATCTTCTTTTTGAAGAGTTCCCTTGTTTGTCTTTAAAGTAGTTTTCCTGGTTAATAAAAATAAGAACTTGGGGTGCAAAACCTTTGTGGTGTTTATAATGATTAGCACTCTTTTGTTTATTAAATGAGTGGAAAGAATGAAGGGAACCTCTGGGCTTTAGAGTTGGGTTGTGTGTTTGCAGTTCACCCCAGGTGCCACCTTTATTGGATGGGGAGGAGGAGTACCTGATGCCCCCATGTCAGGGATCAGAGTAAACAGTAGATTTGACTTACTCTAAAGAAATTCCCTGCCTCCCATTAAGGCTGGGAAAGAACATGATGCTCTTGGAAGCCCATGACCACAACTATAATAGATACGGTTTCCTACTGCCTCCATAGTTACAGTTTAACTTGGTGAGGTTGGTAGGATGAAATGAAAAGATTGCTTCATGCACCTGCTCTAGGAGGGCTGCATAGGTATGTCATCATAATGACACATATGGCAGTGCCAGGAACTGGACACCCCAGGAGCCCTTCCCCAGCTGTACTTGAATAATCATAAGCTCTCTGGACTCAGTGTTCCATGTCTGGGGGGAAGCTCTGGGTGGGAATGCCAGCTCTAGTTCCATCCCACAACCCAGAAGGCCTGGCCGCTCCCTGTGTGAGAGCTGTCAAAGAGAGTCAGAAAAGTAAGTATATGCTGACCTCCTCCAAATATTCATAAATCTGACTCCTTGCTTTTTGTTAGAAATTAGCTGACCTCATTGCTCAATTGTGGCTGACCTGTCCCATGTGAACAGTCAGATCAAGTATTGATGAAGGTTAGGTGCTGTTATAGTGAACCCTTTTTATGTGATTAGCTCAAGAGCCTCTGAGGACAATCACAGTAGGATAGGTGCTTACTCTTTTGACTCAAGGCTAGTGTTGCCATGCATTCTAGCTCTCTGACTCATCTCTGGAGGCCAGGATAGCTTCTGTTTGGACAGTGTGAGAATAGTTTAAAAAAAAATTTATAGAGGTGTGGAAGGAGAAAAGTCCTGTTAAAATTAGATGGCTTTTCCCCCTTATTTGCCAGTAATTTTTTTAATATCTAAATGTTTTCTAAGAAGGCTTTCTTACAGAGGAAAAGCACGCCAAACAGTCTGATGCAGGACAGATGGTAATAGGCGTGTGGCTGTCAAAAACCAAGGGGCTGTTCTTAAGGAAGGCCAAATGCTTCACTTCCTTTCTCTTAAAAAAGTAATAATTTACACTGAGGGAGCTGAAAAGAATCCCAGATTCATTTATTTTGTTACTTGGCCTATGGCTCTTATTTTGTATTTGTTCTTACTTTAAAAAATGTTTGGAGCTGGTATATGTCATATACTCCTCCTTTAAACTGGATTACAGTCTGAGCCACTGTTATTACTTCTGCCAAGTGCTGGTTCAGAAGGAGAAACTTGTTATTATCTTTGTGGGGAGGTTCATCGTGCTCCTCCAGTGTCAACCACTGCCGAGCGCCATCTGCCCTGCCTGC